AGTACCTGTGGCAGTTCGGCTCGTGGTTCTGTATGCCCAGAGGACGTTGTTGAGCTCGTCTGCCCACTTGGCCTTATGCTGCTCCAATCTCGGCCTTATACCTTCTAGAATGCATTTGTTAACAGATTCAACCATGCCGTTGGATTCTGGATGATAAACGGAGGTGAACTGTAATTTGATTCCATAACTAGAGCAGAAATCTCGAAAAGAGGAGCAGTTGAATTGAGTTCCATTATCGGCCATGATCTGATTTGGGATCCCATATCTGCAGATGATCGAACCGAAAACAAAATCTTCGACCTTCTTAGAGGTAAGACTAGATAAGGGCCGAGCTTCAACCCACTTCGTGAAATAATCCACACCCACAACCAGATGGGTAACACCTCCAACCCCTTTCACGAATGGACCCAAAAGGTCTAGTCCCCACTGTGCAAATGGCCATGGTGCTACCAAGCTTGTGAGTTCTTCTGTAGGTTGGTGAGTCAAATGTGCAAAGAATTGGCACTTCGGACATTTCTGAACAAAGTAAGTGGCATCTTTGTACATGTTTGGCCAGTAGTATCCTTGTCTTAAGACTTTGTGAGCTAGAGTTCTGGCACCGACATGGCTCCCACAGACACCTTCATGCACCTCTCGAAGTGCGTATTCAGCTTCATAGGGACTTAAACACCGTAGGAGAGGAAGTGAGAAAGATCTCTTATACAGGACTCCATCAACAAGCGTATACCGAGATGCTTTCTTCCTCAATTTCATTGCCTCCTGCCTGTCCTCAGGCACTATCCCGTCTCGTAAGAAGGAGACAATTGAATCAGTCTAGCTTGGCGTGTCAGGATATGTGCTAATCTCCATCACTCGAGGCTTTGTGAAGCTTGGTTCATCTAAAACTTCTACAAAAACAGATCTGGAGCTTAAAGAGCTATCAGAGGCAAACTTAGAGAGTGAATCTGCCTGTTCGTTCTCAGCTCGGGGAATTTTACTCAGACAGAATTTCTGGAATTTGCACTTCAGCTCGGCCACCAAGGCTACATACTTTACCATCACAGGATCAACGACTTCGCAAATAGAGTTGATTTGGTTCACCACCAGCTGAGAGTCACTATATACTTGAATTGCACTGATTTTCAACTCTAGTGCTAGCTGTAGTCCAAGTAACAGAGCTTCATACTCAGCCATATTGTTTGTCGCATCAAAGTTGAACTTCAAAGCATGTTCGCTTCGATAACCGTCT